GTGCGTGTGCGTGTGCGTGTGCGTGTGCGTGTGCGTGTGCGTGTGCGGAGGGAGCCCTTGCTCCAAAGCAGGGCCGCGGACTCACAAAGCGGCTGGAGTTGTTGTTGCGCACGGTCTTGGCATTGCCGAAGGCCTCTAGCAGTGGGTTGGACTGCAGGATGATATCCTTCACGTGCTGCGGGCAGAGGCGGGTGGAGGTCAGGATGAGGTAGGCGGTCCTGGGGGTTCATTACTGTGCACGTGGGGAGACCCGGCCCATCCTTCCACTCTCCCCTCACCTGGACCTTTTGGCCCCCGCCGGAGACCTTGGAGATGTAGCCCATGATGTATTTGGCTGCCACGGTCTTCCCTGCTCCACTCTCTCCACTGGGGGGTGGGGGGGTGGGTGGGTGAGGGAGAGAATGATCAGCAGCCAGCAGGGAGGGGGGTTGGGGGGGAATAAGTACCCTTTCTGGTGCCTGCTCATTCATTCATTCATTCATTCATTCGTTCGTTCCCTACCGTGTGCCAGGCACCATATCAGATTCCGGGGAAGCAATAGTGAAAAAACAGAGAAACATCCCCGCCGTCTCAGAGCTGACATTTAGAATGCGCCGACAGACAATAACATAATGAATAGATCAATATACCCTGGGTCAGCTGGTGACAAAGTGAAGCGGGACCAGGGGCAAGGGGGGACGGCAAGGTCCCATTTGGATCAGGAGTTCTGAGCAAACCTCCTCGGGGCTGGCGAGGCTGTTGTGGGGCCTGGGCAGGAAGGTTAGGGGCACCGCCGTCCCCCGCCCCCCCCACCCCCACCCCCGTACCTGATGATGACACACTGGTTCTCACAGTCAATGAGCATGTTCCGGTACATGTTGTCCGTGAGGGCATAGATGTGCGGGGGATTCTCGTACTGAGCCTGGGGGAGAAGGTCAGGCCTGAGCGTGGCGCTGGGGGGCCAGGGGTCCTGGGGCTGTGCCTCCCCCACCGGCCCCAGCCTCACCGCGCCCTGGTAGAGGTCGATCTCGCGGTCGGTGAAGTAAGGCATCTGCTTGAAGGGGTTTACGGAGATGAGCACAGAGCCGATGTAGGTCTGGGGTGTGGTGTGGTTAAGGGCGGTGCAGTGGCCGGGCTGGCTTGGCTCCCCCCTGCGCCCCTGTCCCTTAATCCTAAGCCCCTGCGGCCTCCAGAGCCCCCTTGCTCAGAGGAAGAGATGGGGCTACGGAGACGTGCTCTGGGACCCGGGGGAAGACAGGCCTGGGTCCGGAAAGGGGAGACGCGCTGTGGCTGAGTTACCCAGGGCAGAGGGGGCAGTGGGGGCCAGAGCCCCGCTGTCGCGGCCTGTGTCCCCTCCCCCGACCCGGCGCGCTCCCAGCCCATCCCCCTGCTCTGACCGTTTGCCCTGGCGTCTGTCGGTCCCCTCTGTGCTGCCGTCCCCCTGCCACTCTTCCCACATCTCCTCCGTCCGCCCGCCGGTCGGTCACCCTCCCGCCCCTGTCGCCGTCTTCTGCCCGCCCCCGCCCGGGGCCCGGGGTACAAAGATGTAGTCGTCCATGAAGCGCTTGCGGAGGTTGCCCACGATGGCGTCCTCGGTGATCTGTGGCAACAGCACCATGTCGTCCACGCCGCTCTGCTTCACGTTGTGGCTCTGCCAGTGGAAGCGCTCCTTGCTGCCCTGGGGTGGGGGGTGGCCAGGCGGGGGTGAGCCCCTGCAGAGGGGACGCGGCGGGGGGGGGGGGGGGGGGGGGGGGGGGGGGGGGGGGTGTGACGCCTCCGTGCCCCCCGCCCGGCTGGCCTCCGTCACCAGCTTCTGACTCTGCACCTCGGCCCTCTGCCTGCGCCCTTCCCCACTTCGGGGACACCAGGAGAGGTGGGTGAGGTCGAGAGCGGGCTCCTGCCCCCAAGGAGGGGGGGCTCTGTTCTCGGTCCCTCCACCGGGTGTCGCACTGTCGTGGAGGGGACCCTGGTGCCAGGCAGCTGTTGCAGGGGGGAAGTCGGGAGTGGGGGGAGGCTTGCTGGGCAGGGGGGCGGGGGCCTCGCCCTCCTTCTCACTTCTTCAGACTTCCCGCCCCTCTCTTCTCCAGCCCCCTCTCCCGGCCCAGGCCCAGGCTGAGTCCCTGACTTCTCCAGGGCATTTGACCCGCTGCCCACCCCTTCCACCCCTAGGTGGCCTCCTTCCTCCCGCTCTCCTCCTCCTCTCTCATGGTCATGCACGCTAGCCTGTCACATCCGTGACCTCTGCCCTCTGTGCCCAGCCAGGAGCCTGCTCCTCCGCCCCCACAGCTTTCCCTTCTCATTCCCTTCCTCAGTTTTTTTTTTTTTTTTCCCTTTTCAATCAGGTGAGACTTCCTTTCGGCCCCAGGGAGAGGACTCAGATAGAGGCTCCCCCAAAAGACCCCTCCTCCAGGAAGCCTGCCTGGAACGTTTTCCCTTTTCAGCCTGACTGAACTCATCCGGTGCCTTGGACACTTAAACATACTGGCTGTCTCAGGTGCACTCGAGGCTCAGCGTACCCCTGCCGTGGAGGAGTCTGGCAGACCGGTGAGTGATGGCGGCCTGGAGCTTCCCCGGCAGGTGCGCTCCTGCCTGGATAAGATGCCCCCTTCCTCCAGGAAGCCCCTCATGCCCAGACCAGGAGCTCTTGGAGGGCAGGGCCTGGGACTGAGCCCTTTCTCAGCTCTGGCAGGAATGACCCGATGGAGGAACAAGGAACGAGGGCGGAGAAAGAAATCCAGATTTGGCGGCGGGGGGAGGCGGGGGAACCCCAAGAGCAAAGGATGCTGGGAACCAAAATCAAGTCTTCAAAGAGGACCCGTGTTTTGCCAGGCAGGTTCCAGGGAAGGGAGAGGGGAGACGCAGGAAGGGATCAAGCAGGAGGGTCACTGTCCACTGTCGTGTGGCCGCTGTAGGGCAGAGGTGGGTGAGGGGCCACAGTCTCTCCTGGGGACACTGGGGGGTTCCTGCGCAGGGGAAGTGCGAGGTCAGATCCTGGACATGCCATCAGCCAGAGCGGGGTTCACCGATGGATGCCACAGGCAGTAAACGAGCCCGGTTCTTGGTGGGGCTGGTAGATCTGGGCTCTAATCCCGGCTGGGTGATCCAACACCGCTCTGAGCCTCAGTGGCCCCATCCCTAAAATGGCAGCAGCATGCTCACTTTCAAGGCTGATGTGCCGGAGGAACTGCTCTGGGGTGCCCAAACCGGAGTGGCGCGAGGGGCCCCGTGCTCCTCTGCAACGCACGCGGTTGTGAGGACGGGCCCCAGGAGCAGAACTGACATTCCCCAAGCACCTAGGACGGGCCCGAAGCCGGGAGGCCAGGGGCAAAGCCCGCCACCCTCACGGCAGCTCAGGGGGCTCTAGGGACAGAGGCTTGGCAAGTGCCTGAGGCTTGACTACAGACATAGCTACATTGTTTCCAGGGGTGTGGGATTCCACCGTGGGCTCCGCCTGACAGCAAAGGCCAGGCGCTTGCATCCGCACACACGAGTGGCTGGGCCCCAGGGGCTGTTTGGGTGGGACTTGAGTTCGAGAAGGGCTTTGCTCAGGACCTGGGAAAAAGCTGCAGCAGGCAGGGCGAAGTAGCCAGGCCAAGGTGCAGAGAAGCAGGAGCTGAGAGCAGAGGAGGGAGTGTGGGGGGGGGGGGGGGCTTTGGGCTTGAACCCCCCTTGCTGCTTCCAGCCTGAGGTCAGTGGTCAGAGTGGTAGTTTCATATGGCACGTCTGGTCTCCCCGCTCTGCTCTGCGGCTGAAAACCTGGCTGTGGCTCCCCGTCACTCTCCCATCCATCTGGTCCACAAAGGATTCTGGCGCGCCTACTGCGTGGTGGTGACCTGGCCCCCCCCCCCCCGCCTTCCCCCCCCCCACCTCGGGTAAACCTCCTTTGGTCCCTAACCTCAGTGCCTCCAAGCTGTGCTGATGCCCAGGCCTCTGCTCAGAGCATCCTTCCTGCCTGGTGGGTGCCTTCACACTTGGCTCAGATGACATTTCCTGTGAGAAGGCCTCCCTGACCCCAGGCCACGCTGAGGATCCCCGCAGCTCCCCGGGTGTCCCTCACCACAGCCCTGTCCCCGCTCTGGACATCCTGCACACTGGCCACATCTTCGGGTGTGGAAGCTCCTGAGGGCAGGGGCTCGGGCAAATGCCGGGCTGAACCCGGCCTCGGGGCTCTTTTGAAAGAATGAGTGGAAAAGTGAGACAGCGCTTGCATGAATGGAGGGGAGGTCAACCAGGGCCAGGTGCTGAAGGGCCTTGAATGCCAAGCCAAGGAACTCAGACTTCATCGTCAGGAGCTTGGAGCGTTCTCAGCAGGGCCCTGCTGCTCTTGGGGACACTTTAAGAGTTGTGGGAGCAAATGGGGCGGCCTGGGTGGCTCAGTCGGTTAAGCGTCCGACTTTGGCTCAGGTCATGATCTCACGGTTTGTGAGACTGAGTCCCGTATCGGGCTCTGTGCTGACAGCTCAGAGCCTGCTTCACATCCTCTGTCTCCCTCTCTCTCGGCCCCTGCTGTGCTCACGCGTGCTGTCTCTGTCTCTCAAAAATAAATGAAACTTAAAAAATAAAAAAAGAATTGGGGAGCATTTTTGATTGTCCCGGGGATGGAGACTGGCTGGCATTGTAAGCGGGCTGCAGCTACCAATGTGCGCACAAATAATCACCCTGATCAGAGCCCCCACTGCTCCCCACCAGACGCTCATTCACGCGATGTAACTGTTAGTAACCACTGGGATGTAGAGCCAACTTCTATCTTATGCATAGAGAGAAAATAGATGTATTTTTTTTTTTTTTTGCCTCGGCATCTTCCAGCAATGCAACTACCCTGTGTCAAGGGGGATTTTAATTTCATTCAGATTTCACTAAGACTCGTTCATCAGTAAGAAAAAAAAAAACAACCTTGATGTTTATTTTTGAGAGAGAGAGAGACAGAGTGTGAGCAGGGGAGGGGCAGAGGGAGAGGGAGACCCAGAATCCCAAGCAGGCTCCAGGCTCTGAGCCGTCAGCCCAGAGCCCGACGCGGGGCTCGAACTCACGGACCGCGAGATCGTGACCTGGCTGAAGTCGGGCGCTTAACCGACTGCGCCACCCAGGCGCCCCATGATTCGTTTACTTTTGATTAAGTAGGCTCCACACCCAACGTGGGGCTTGAACTCATGACGCTGAGATCAAGAGTCACATGCTCTACTGCCTGAGCCAGCCAGGCATCCCTCACGTGAATTATTTTTGGAAGGATGGGAGTCAGTGTGTTTCACTGTCTGTGAATTTCTTTTCTTTACTTTTTAAACTTTATTTATTTATTTTGACAGAGAGCCAGCGCAAGCAGGGGAGGGGCAGAGAGAGAGGGGGAGAGAGGATCCCCAGCAGTCTCGGACGGTCAGTGCAGAACCCAACGCGGGGCTCGAACCCACGAGCTGTGAGATCGTGACCTGAGCCAAAATCAAGAGTCGGACGCCTAACTGGCTGAGCCACCCCGGCGCTCCTGTCTGTGAATTTCATTTCAGGGCTTCAAGGTGGGGGGGCTGCCAAGATGTTTGTTATAAGAAGGGGGTGCTGGCCGTGATGCACTAGGAACCCCGGGGTGCTGTGGGCAGGGCAGTGGGGAGGACAGAGTTGTGCCAGCTGCATTGTGCGGGGGTCAGAGAGGGTGCCTACGACAGGGGCTGAGCAGGGTGTTAGCTGGGAGGTTGGAGGCAGCCGGGGCGGGTGAGACCCGGAGATGACAAGGGCGAGTTGGCAGAAACAGGGAGTCATGCTACCAAAGAGTGCCCAAGCTCACCGGAGACAGAGGGCCCCCTGGAGAGTGCTGGTGACCTCATTCAGCAGTCAGATTGGGAGGTCAGGAGGTGTAGACGGGGGAGTGAGGATGGCTCTCAGACAGTCTAGCTGAGAAGAGGAAGAGGGCAAGAGGCTGTGGGGAGCCGTGGGGTCAGCGGGCACGTTTCCCGTTTTGAAGATGGGGAGACCCGAGTGCGTTGGCGAGGAGAGAGGATGAAATCGGGGAGCGAAGGGGTATTATTCACGCACTGGTGTCATTCAGGGGCCGCAGGCAGAGCCGGGGGGAGGCCTACTCTTTCTCTGAGCCAGCAGTGGGTGGGGACGTACGGGGGGTACAGGAAGCGGATCCTCTCTCTGAAGACCTCTGAGGAGTGGGGTTTTGGGTGGTAACTATGGAAACAATAGCGAACACCCCACCGGGGTTTACCGTGTGCCGCACTGTGGGCTAGGCTTTTTCCGTGAACGATCTCACTGAACCGTCCTGCACATGCTGAGGTCAGTACTATGACCGGGCCCGCTTTGTGGAAGAGGAAACTACAGCACAGAAAGGTTAGCTGTCCTCCCCAGGGCCACACAGCAGGAAGGGAGGACCTTGAAGAGGACTGGAGAGGCTGTCTGCTACCCTTAGCCCAGTCCGGGTCAGAGGCGGCCGGGGTCGGTGTTTTCAGATCAGAGACAAGGTTGGTCCTGACCAGGGTTTCCCCAGTGGGTTAACCTGGTCTCTGGGCTCCTGGGCCCCTCAAGCTGGGCCGAGCGAGACCCGAGACCATTTCCTTGCTCTGAGGTCAGAGGCCCTGATGCTGGCTGTGTCTGGCTCTCTTGGCCCCAAGGACTTGGTTCCTCTTCCTGTCCCTTCCGTCTTCCCCCATCCAGCTGAGTGGTCCTCTGCCTCTTGCCGCCACTGACATTCTCCCCCTCTGTGTCCTGCCCTGGGCACTGGAAACCCCCAGACCCACTCCTACCCGCCTCCCCCTCCGCCCCCCGCGGTGACAAATCTGTGGGTTGTTTGTAGTGGAGGAAGAGAGGGTTTTGCTCAGGGTGAGTACAGCGTGTGGAAGGACGGTCAAGAATTTTGGCGTGGGACCAGGTGGGTGCGAGGCCTGGGGAGCCCACTTCATGGCTCCAAGCCTCAGTTTTCCCCTCTGTAAAATGGGTTCCATAACAAACCTCCTCCGTGGGTTGTCTGAGGGGAGTAAATGAGCCAGTGCAGAGAAGAAATACACTAGATGCCTCAGAAAATGACAGCCGGCGACCCCAGCAGCATGTAGAGGAAGTGATCAGTGATTGACGCAGGATGCGGGAGCTGGCCCATAGATGCTTGCTGAGTGAGTGAATGAGTGGGTGAAATACCACTGGGATGAGACTGTCGCTTGCCCTGTGTCACGGGTGCCCGTCTCTCTGTGGCTCCCAAGTCTCCGTGGACCAAGTGTGTTTCTAAGTCCCTTCTTTGGGGGTAGGGGTGCAATGAAGAGGTTGCGGTCACAGTTGACCACAAGCTAAGTATGACTCCCCCCTAGGGGGCTCTTGTGAAAGAGCGGCGGGGGGGGGGGGGGGGAGGTGGGAGGTTCTTCAGAGAGACTCCCCCCCCAGTCTAAGGTGGATGGCTTGGGGAGCACGGCTTCCAGCTTCTTTGGGATGGACGTTCTAGGCCCAAATGAGGCTGGAGGGATGGGCAGCCTGGGGCATGGGGGCGGGGGGAGGGAAGGCATCCCCAGACCCTCGCAGCCCCTCATCGGGTAGGGGGGAGCAAGAGATCGCAGGTCAAGGGGGCTGTTAAAAGCGTGACCTTAGGAGTCACGGGGTTGAAATCCCCTGCCACTTTTGGGTCGTGCGGCAATTCACCTAATCTCCCTGCCTCCGTTGTCTCATCTGGACAATGGGAACACTGGCCTCGCGGGGCGGCTAGCTGCACGGATTCAGCGAGGCCAAGGGTGTGAAGCAGACCCATGAGCCTTTCTCACCACTGCCAGCGGCAGGGGCAGGCTCGAGCTGGCCACTCCCCCGGGCTCAGGGCACAAGGCCAGGAGGAAGGGCTGGATGAGGGAGCTTTTGCAACTCGCCCTAACTGCTCTGGCCTCCCTGCTCCTGGGCGGTGATGAGAAGAGCCTCAGACAGGAGAGAACAACGAAACAGCCATTTCCTTCCTCGTTGGGGTCCTGTGAGCTGTGGTCGCCAGCAGGGAGGAGGTATGACATTGCCATGCAGCACAGCCCCCCAGCCACAGCCCCTGGTGTGTCCCCGGAGCCTTGGTCCTGTCCTCCCCCAAACTCGGTGGGGTTCTGGGGCCACACCCTGCATCCCTGCACCGTGCAAACAGCATGCTCGCCTCCAAAGGCTCTTGAGGTCCCCCTTCCCTTGGGGGGAGGGCTCTCGGTGTCCATTTGGCCTAGCTGGAGGCCCTTCTCCTCTGGGGACAGGTGGGGACTCTTGTCCTTCTGCAGTCTTCCACCCGAACTCTCCCTTGGGCCCCTGGCCACTCCTGTCCATCCCCGCGGTTGCTGCCTGTGGACTCGGCAGCCACATAACGTACAGCTTTATGTCTGCACTTTAGAAACAACCACCGCCACCCTCACCGAATCACCATCCCCGAGAATAACCTGCTCCTGCCTTCACCCGCTTTGCCCTCACAGTCAAACAAAAACTGCCGATAACCTCAATCATGGCACCCACCGTCAACGTCACACAGAACAGGGAACGGGTCCCGCCGCCACGGCCACCGCCGCTGCCACGCTCACAGCGCTGGCCGTCCACGGCCACACACGACCAACCTCCACTAAGGCCGCCGTTCCCACACCACCATCGCCAGGGCGGTCGTCAAAAATCAGCAACGGACGACCAACAGCCAAAAGCGCTGCCATCACCGCCCCACTCAGGGCAAGAGCGGCCACCGACTACCGTCACTCCACGGATCAGCCCTGAAGACGACCAGCCACCAACCACAGATCAACACCGGCTGGCAGGCGGCAACCATCGCCCCTGCCGACACGCGCCCACGGGACTCACAGTTACCGCCAACTTGCGACGACCGTGGGCGATGACCACCACCACCCTCCCCACCCCCCCCCACCCCCGGGCACCCACCACCCATCATTCAACAGCAACCGAGAGTCGCCTCCCCCGGCTGCCATCACTAACGACAGCAATGAATGGGCATCGCCCACGGGGACTGCATCGAGGGCACAGCGCGGGGCTTGGGGAAGCACTTGAAGCACACTGCTCCGTTGACTCCTTCCACACTCTTCCTGGCACTCATCGCCCCCGCCAGGAAGCAGTCGGCACCCCTGGATGGAAGTTTTGGCCTCGTGGATGGGGTCTGCCCTCTGTTTTCCCCTCCGTGGTCCTCTTGGGTTGAGCTTCTCCCTTCCCGCAACCCGACAGGAGAGCAAACCATTGACTAAGCATTTTGTACAGCTTCCTTGCGAGGGGGTGGATTTCTTTCAAATAGCAAATCGTTTCCTGTGTTCTTTTGATCTCCGTCTCCCCATCCGAGCGCCCGAGCCTTCCTGGCTTGGCTCCTTCTTCGAGGAATTCCCATCCGAAGCCCGGGGCTCTAAGCTGCCACTTTGGTGGGTGAGCCACCCAGAGGGGTCCTCGGCCAGTGACCCCCGGTTCGTCACGGGCTTTCTGAAACGAGGAGGGGCTCTCTCCCAGACGGACGCGGTCCCTGCCGTCTGGCCCACCACCCTGCCTCCACCTTGGTCAGGTGCCCGCGGCGGCTGGCTGGGTGACTGTCCCAGCCACATGCTGTCATTGACAGAGTGACAAAAAATGAAAGTCGAAGTGGTTTGCAGATGCGTGGAGCGGTGGGGGCACATCTTAGAGCCAGGCTGGGCTCTCTCTTTACGTGTGTGTTAGGAGGCTGCTGGGTCTAGACCCACGATAGTGACGGTTTCCTGAACCCCGTCACCGCAGTCATCGCCAGACCTCAGCCTCACCAGGTGGTGATGCGGCTGGCGGCAGGGTGTCCCCTGCCATACTTGCTTGGAAGGCTTCCGGGAGCGGTGTGGCCCTGCCGGGCCTCACCGCCTCCTGTTTCTGTGATCGCTACAGCCAGACATGCAGGCACACTGCCACGACACCATCGCTGCCCCCCATTGCCCACTGGACACAGCTTCTGGCCGCAGCTGTGGACTCAGAGTGGCCGAGCCCGCAGACCCTGTGAAGTTCGGAGACTTTCCCGGAACACCTTCCCTATCACCACTGACTTCCAAATATGACATGTGTGGGAACTGAGGCCCAGAGAGGGGAAGTGGCTTGCCCCAGGCCACACAGGAAGATGAGGGACCGGGATGAGCTGGAAACTGGCTCTCTAAGCCCTGACAAAGGGGTACGTCCTTGTCCCCTGCAGATACTGTGTGGTCCCTCAGGGTCATCCTCTGTCCTTTGTTACTGCTGCCTCCTTGGTCCCCTGTCACCATTCTGGCATCCTGGCACCGCCCGATGTGAACTTGGACCCTGGTGAAGGACGCTGGGGCATCTGAGCTGCAGAGAGGGACCCCCC